TCTAGATTATTGACTCTAGTGAAAGTGGGAGACTGAAGGAAATATGCCCTAGAGGCAATAATAAAGTTGTTATTTATATTTCCTTATATCATGATAAATGTTTATTATTCATTCTAGAATTGTATTAACCGGAAACTTAGTACATGTGTGAATACATAGACAAACAGAGTGTCATTAGTACGCCTCTACTTGACTAGCTCATTGAATCAATGATGGTTATGTTTCCTGACCATAGACATGAGTTGTCATTTGATTAACGGGATCACGTCATGAGAGAATGATGTGATTGACTTGACCCATCCGTTATCTTAGCACGATGATCGTTCAGTTTGTTGCTCTTGGTTTCTCCATAACTTATACATGTTCATATGACTATGAGATCATGCAACTCCTGAATACCGGAGGAACACTTAGTGTGATATCAAACGTCACAACGTAACTGGGTGACTATAAATATGCTCTACAGGTGTCTCCGATGGTGTTTGTTGAGTTGGCATAGATCAAGATTAGGATTTGTCACTCCGAGTATCGGTGAGGTATCTCTGGGCCCTCTCGGTAATGCACATCACTATAAGCCTTGCAAGCAATGTGACTAATGAGTTAGTTGCGGGATGATGCATTACGGAACGAGTAAAGAGACTTGCCGGTAACGAGATTGAAGTAGGTATTGAGATACCGACGATCGAATCTCGGGCAAGTAACATACCGATGACAAAGGGAACAACGTATGTTGTTGTGCGGTTTGACCGATAAAGATTTTTGTAGAATATGTAGGAACCAATATGAGCATCTAGGTTCCGCTATTGGTTATTGACCGGAGATGAGTCTCGGTCATGTCTACATAGTTCTCGAACCCGTAGGGTCCGCACGCTTAACGTTCGGTGATGATCGGTATTACGAGTTTATGTGTTTTGATGTATCGAAGGTAGTTAGGAGTCCCGGATATGATCACAGACATGACGAGGAGTCTCGAAATGGTCGAGACATAAAGATCGATATATTGGAAGCCGATGTTTGGACATCGGAATGGTTCTGGATGAGTTCGGGCATTTTCGGGAGTACCAGGAGGTTACCGGAACCCCCCGGGGAGTATATGGGCCTTATTGTGCCTTAGTGGAAAAGAGGAGAGGAAAGGAAAAGGTAGGAGGTGCGCCCCCTAGCCCAATCCGAATTGGGAAGGGGCCGCCCCCCCTTTCCTTTCCCCTCTCCTCCCCGTCCTTCTCTCCTACTCCTACTACTTGGAAGGGGGGAATCCTACTCCCGGTAGGAGTAGGACTCCCCTAGGGCGCGCCATAGAGGGCCGGCCCTCCCCCCTCCTCCACTCCTTTATATACGAGGGAGGGGGGCACCCCATAGACACACAAGTTGATCATTGATCTCTTAGCCATGTACGATGCCCCCTCCACCATAATCCACCTCTATTATATCGTAGCGGTGCTTAGGCGAAGCCCTGTTCTGGTAGCATCATCATCACAGTCATCACGCCGTCGTGCTGACGAAGCTCTCCCTCGACACTCTGCTGGATCATGAGTTCGTGGGACGTCACCGAGCTGAACGTGTGCAGATCGCGGATGTGTCGTACTTTCAGTACTAGGATCGGTCGGATCATGAAGACGTACGACTACATCAACCGCGTTGTCATAACGCTTCCGCTTATGGTCTACCGGGTATGTAGACAATACTCTCCCCTCTCATTGCTATACATCACAATAATCTTGCGTGTGCGTAGAAAATATTTTGAAATTACTGCGTTCCCCAACACCTTCACGTGTGGTAAAATTGAATGGACCCTCCCAAAACCATGGCATGATCCTGGACCGTCTAACTGCTAGCACACGAGATGTTTCTTTGAGGAATCAATCAAGTTCATCATTGGGAATGGAGCCACCATTTTTTGGAAAGATCCATGGCTTCTTGAGACTAGCTTCACTGCATCGGTGCCAAATGTTTTTATGAGCCACGCCAATCAAATTCTAATGATCTAGGATGACACTCCAAGTAGCAACTGGCTTTGCTATTTGAAGCTCAATCTAGGATGACATATGCGAACAATTTTTAAATAATGCATAAAAAATTTAGTAATCATGGAACATGTTTAACAACATATTATATATAATTCATTTATCTTTTTGTAAACGGAGTAAACAACTTGACTACTTTTCATACGCGATATTTTTATTACTTTATTTTCATTTACCATTTTCCCATTTCTTTTCACATATTGTGTTTTGCATGTAGATTTTTATGAATATGTAAATGGTTTTATAGAAAATGTATAATCATATGTTAATGACATGAAAATTTCCAGAGATCATGAAGCATGTTTTATATATACTAGCAAAAGTTCGCGGGCGTTGCAAAGGGATAATAAAATGTGGTCTTCAAATTAAGTTTCAAATATTCGCACTCCATGTATATACACGTGTTTGAATTTTTGTGCACCAACCGGTGCGCATGCCAACGTAAGACACGTGCATTCTAACATGCTCACAATGATCGATGTTGGACTTGATCCTTGATGCACGTTTTTTTAGTACATCCTTGATGCATGTATGCAAGAAAAAGAAAATGTTAGTCTCACGATGGTGAAAAACAGGTGGGCCCTATGACATACGATTGATTCGGAGGAAAACACTCATTCTTTTCACTTTTATGGGTGGTGGGGTGGTTAATTTACTTCAACTTTAGAGGTGGTTTCAATGACAGAAGAAAAATAATTCAGAGAAACAATTAATGAAGACATTTTTCCACTTACGTAATTTACTTCAATTTTAGGACAGTTCCGATGACATGCGAAAAAAAACAAAAAAACAATTAATGAAGAGTATTTTTTTTTCACCTACGGTTGGCATGGTGGGTAATTTACTTCAACTTTATGGGCAGCTTAGGGTAGATTGACGGGCCAAAATATAGGCTAAACGCACCGTCCTTTATTTATTTATTTATTTATTATCACTATATTATAATTATTATATTATTATAATATATGTATATTATTTTACTTTGAAAATGGTGAAACTAATTCTGAATTATTTTCCTATGCTCTATTTTCTCTCTCTGAGTTTTCCATTGGCTTTTCCCATTCTATTCACATATTTGTTTTGCATGCTCATTTGTATGACAAATGTGAGCAACTTAAAAAAAATACATTTACATGTATTATTGATGTACACATGCATTTTCAGAGATAATGGAACATTTTTCTTATAAAATATATATTTATATACATCACATTTCTGTGACAACATTTTCGTTGACCTACATGACTTTTTTATAGAATTGTTTTGCTATTTCTTGCAATCTTGGGAACAATTATGTTGAGCTGTGTGAACATGACCATTTTTTGCCACGTCATGAACATATATTTTTAACCATTCGGCCCGGATGATGAGTATCTCAAAAATAATGAACATCTATTTTTAATGTTCACGTGTGCATGGAAATATGGAGGTTGTAGAAATATGAGTAGAAAAACAACTTTTGAAAGGACCCATGCACATATTTAAAGCAAAAAAAGGACTCCCTTGTTGGTAATTAATTGTTCTTCACCATGATTTTGTTTTGGTTCACGAACTACACAAATAAATTGTTCTTTTCTTCACAAGAAAGTAATTGTTTCCAATAATTATTGATTAAAAAATCAACATTTTTCTATGAATGGTTTGTTCCTCTCTACAAACAAAATTTTAGATCATCCACAACAATTACTTGTTTCTGCACATGAACTATTTTTCAGAAACATACATGAAAAAAACATGACTGGCACAGAAAGAGAATAGGGACACAACAGAACAGACGCCAGAAAAAAACCTTGGGAAGAAAACAAAACACAAATGAAAAAAAAACATACATTGACTGATTTCAAACCACAGGGGAAGGGTATGCGAGCGACATTTCGGTATTATTCGCTGCAAGCGATGCATAGGGGTACCCGTGAATTGGGTGTGTTCTTGCTATGCCCATGATTATTAAGTGGTATAACCAACCACATGGTCTTTGCTAGGCTAGACTGAGCAATGCAAGCAACCAACACCAAGTTTAGAATTGTGGTGATATTGGTGCATCCTAACAAATATGCATTGATACAACCGTACAACCACTCTTATATTTTTTTTCCTGATATAAAGAGCGTTTTTATTAACTTAAAATGTAGCATCAAGCGGATATAAAGCATGATGAGCAACATCCGATCTCTGCATAGCTGAGATGTACACATCCGAAACCAACATTCTGACAAGCACTCTTATCTTGAAAACAAAAAATGTCGTGTGCAATTGCCCGATCATATCAGATAGGATATGGATGACGTCAAAGGACACGAGGAAAGAGCCATGGTTGAAGAATGGATACGCGTCGAGCAACCGAGATTTTGCCAATAATGACAATTCCCAAGTGACAAGAGGTGACAAGATGTGAACAGTGGCCAGTAGGAGTACCGGCCACATCAATCTGTACGCACTCTGCATGCAAGATTTACCAGTGCAAAAGGAGGGGCATCATTGGCCACTTTCCTTCATCCCATAGCATGTTTGCACACGTCCCAGCAATTAAATTTGCGGTTACCAAAGCGCGCATTTGCACCTCATGAATGTTCCCCTTTAAAATCCGGCGGCACAGCAGGCCATCTCCAGTTGCGGCTGCCATTTCCAATCCACATCCACACCGATGGAAAGCTTCAGGTCCTATGGAGAAGAAGGGGACGGCTGCTACTACTTCCAGAACTTGAAGCTTAATGAAGAGGACCACTGCTTCCTGGATTTCAGGTAGGTATCACTATTCAGCCCCTGCACTGCGGCTGTGCAGCGTCTACTCTTCTTGTAGTTTCTTGTGCTGCTACATTACTGCATCACAATCCTTGGCATAAATTCCATCCTATGGATACTGGTTTTCTTGTTTGCGAGATGAACTTTTTTCCTCCTTTTTTTGGAACTTCGATGAACTAGTACTTTTGTGCACTAGCAAGACAGCTTTCTTGAAGCTTTTGATCCAGGAATCGTTCTATGTTTTGCATGTACTTGCTTCGACAATGGAGTTTTGAGTACTTACTAGAGATCTCACTCTTCTACCCCACTCATCGTCTCTGTGATACCAGTACTTCTAGTACTACTACTGCCACTCAGAGCTGCCCCTTGCAAGGTACTACAAAAATCTTTGCACAAAGCATCATATCATCATCAATCAAATATGAGTAGAAGTTTGCAGACTTCAAAGTTCCTATCTATCATTGCAGACGAGTATGATGCCACCCTGTTCGAAGGCGATATCCTGAGCTTTTGGCCTGCCTTGGAAGAACGAGCTCATCTCAAGGAAGTGAAGCAGGAGCCGGACGGTGACGCCGCGGAGAAGAAGCACGACGGCTCGGAGGAAGCACTCTTCTCCTCCACCTCCACCCAGCATCTCTGCACTAGCACCACTACTGCACAGAGCTTCTTCTCGCAAGGTACCTGCAACAAGTCTTTGCACGGCGCATCATCATCGCGCATAGAAAGTTCGTTGGTTTCACGTTTTTTCTTCTGTCAATGTAGACCAGCAGGAGTTTGAAGCCCGCTTGGAAGTTCATATCATGAGCCTTTTGGCAGCCTTGGAAGGAGAACATCACGGCGGGGAGAAGGAACTGAAGGGCGAGGTGGGCCGCGACGCCGGGGAGAAGAAGCGCGATGGACCAGAGGAGAAGCCACTGCTGTTGTTCCAGCAGGTGTCGCGGTGCTTCTGCATGCCGATCAAGCAGGCGGCGGAGGAGCTCAATGTTGGGCTGACGCTCCTGAAGAGGCAGTGCCGGGAGCTCGGGATCCCGCGGTGGCCGCACCGAAAGTTGAAGAGCCTGGAGACGCTCATCAAGAATGCTCAGGTGTTCTTGCTAATTTCCATATCCTTTTCGTCTGGAATTTCCCATCTCCTAAATTTTAAATTGATTTTAGTCCATTTCTTCGCAAGTGGTTGGCACCCTCTTTTTATCTTAGTTCCAGCATTTGAATTTGGGAAACCGGTGAGCAGGAATTGTTCATGTGCTGCAGGAGCTAGGGAAGCCTATGATTGAAGTGGAGATGCTGCAACGGAAGAAGAAGCTGATCGAGGAGAGGCCTGGGCACATTGAGCTGGATGAGGAGACGAAGGTGCTGAGGCAGGCGTGCTTCAAGGAGAAGTTCAAGAGGAGAAGGCTCATGGCAATGGAGCGGTAATTCAAGATGGATATGCTTGTTCCATGGGAATTTTGTTGGTGGGTGAATCGCGGGTTTGATCAGGCCGGGTATTTTGCAGTTCTGATCAGGGGAATTTTGACTGATCAAATTTGCCATCCGTAGCGTAGTCTGACCAGCTTTCTTTATTTTGGGGGCCGGAGGAGGAAGTCTGTCTTGGTTAGCGTCTGAGCAAGACAGAAAGTAGATGTTTTTGCTGTAAATACTATCACTCGTCCTCTGGCTATCTTCTCAGGGCATCTTCAATAGTTTGTATGTTAGCTTGTTGGTAAAATATGCAATGTCATCAATCAACACCTTAACATACAACAACTTCAATGGGTTGTATCTAGTTTGCTCAATAGGATCTGAGATAATAAATGGGGTGCTCTCTCATTCTACATTAGAGCTTGTGCAATGTGTGTTGGTTCATATACATACAACCTTCCTCTCTTTCCCCATTTATTGTATGACACATCATCAAAAATCTTATGTAGCAAAGTCTACCAACAACTATCTTAGAGCATTTCCAATAGCATGTGTATATTTGGATGTCTATATATTCATATAGACAATGGTCTAAAAAGATTCCCTCGTATGCACATCCAGTTTTGCATCGGAATGTCTATATACAAAGACCATGACAGGTGGGCCATCGCTAGGGAGAGGAAGAAATCAAGACTACAGCTGAGTTTAGACAACGCCTTCACATTGTCCAGGCATGGACATTGTCGAGGCCAATTTAGAGGATGTGTATATTTGGACGATCATATAGACAAGCTGTTGGACGCCTGTTTTGAGCTCACGTCGTGAAAAACGAGTATAGACATCCATATAGACAAGCTATTGGAGATGCTCTTACAACCATTGGAGATGCCCTTACTGATGGTTACAGTAGCTGTTTGTAGTTGGGACGTGCTAAATGCAAAGTACATCTTCGGACATTACTTGTCGTGCCAACGAAAGTGTTTTTCTTGTGAAATTTCATAACAGTCACCGGTACACGTACTCCTTCGGTGCTGGCGGTGGTGTGCTCCGTCGTTGGTGTTTTTTTTTACCACCCGGCCTGCGTCGATGGCCTTACTGTGGATTGCAGTGGCCACCGAAAGGTCTTCATGAGGGTTTCTCTCTCCAAAATCCGATGATTGATCACCCCCAAAAAACAAACCGACCCAGCAAGAAAATGTATGTGTTGGCCCTCTCAACTCAACCCTGACGAGTACGCAAACTTGGTGCTTCCATAGAAATGGCGGTCCGAATCCATTCTGACAAAATAAAATAACAGGCTCCTACCTTTTTTTGAAACATTTTCGGTTGTTTTGGAAGATGAGGAGGGAATTGTTAGAGCGGACATTCTCTTTAGAAGAGCAAAATTCAAATATAGCATTGAACAAGTAGGCGTAACGGTCTTCGACTGTGAGATGCAAACTATGGACGGCGGCTTGATGTAGAGGGATGGTTGAGCAGCGATGGCGGTCGCACATCGCGTGTAGTTGCTGGAATCACGGAAAAGTGGTGGCGATAACACATGTGAGACTTCGATGGTGCTGCTATTCGAGCACCCGGTCTCTAGCTCCGGGATGAAAGCAAAGGTCTGTCCAAGTTGGTTATACCTGGCAATACGATGTTTTTACGTCGTTACCTTGTTAAAGGCATTGCTTGGATATCCTCGGACTGTTCTTCAAGGTGAAAACCTAGATTTTGGCCGTGGGTGGTTGGATCCGATGACGGCGACGATTGAGCGTCATTCCTTTCCTAAAGGTGTTGATGTTGAAGAACATCGTGATGTCAAAAGATGGTTGAGGCGGATACTAAAATGGTTGAGGCGGATACAGTCATTGTTGTAGCCTGTCAACTATAGATCATTTCGCTTTGGCCTTTTCTTTTTTCCTCGCCTACGCATATATAGCTTTGGTTTTATATAACTTTGCTATTGCCGGTGTGTTTTGTGTGTGTGCCTTGATGTTGGCTTTGTGCATCCTACATATGGCCGGGTGTCTGTCCATTGTGTTTGTAACTTTTTTCGGCAAAACATCCAATATATTTATTTTTAATCATGTCAGTACAATGAACATCAGAAATAATAAAAATTACACCCAGATCCGTAGACTATCTAGCGACGATTGCAAGCACTGAAGCGAGCCGAAGGTGCGCCACTATCATCGCCTCTCCCTTACAGGAGCATGGCAAAACTTGTTGTAGTAGACAGCCGGGAAGTCGTCGTGCTAAGGCCCCATAGGATCAGTGCAACAGAACAACAACCGCAACTGATAAAGTGTAGCGTAGATCAAAAGAATCCAACCTGCAGACACACGAAAGTAGACGAACGACGAGCAGATCTAAGCAAATCCATCAAGGACGGATCTGTCGAAGACACACCTCCTCGGGTACACCGACGATGCTAGAAGCACCATCGGAACGGGGGCTATGCGGGTAGAACACCTTATTCCATTTTTAGGGAGTTGCCGTCGTCTCACCCTCCTGAATAGGACATAGACCCTAACAAATCTTGAAGGCACATCTAAAAGTGGAGCCCTCTCATCGGCAAAGGCGGGGATCCACTGCACCCCATGACCCTAATGCCATCGGAGACGAAGCGGACCGGCTGCGGAGCCAAGTGCGAGGCAGAGGAACCCTAATTAGGAAGGATGCAGCTGTGTAAGATGTCTTCGATTGTGTTTGTATCATCTTGATGCTTCATTTTGAGACAATAAAATACGTCTTTGTATCATATTGATGCACATGATGAAGTTGTGTGCCGTTGCTTGGTAAGGGAAATGCTCCATGTTAGACAGGAGGATAGAATTCTCGATTTTATCCTGGACATGAAGAAAAATAAATCTAATTCGGTACCCTCGAATTCCAATCTATTATTATCGTAAACTACCAAATGTGGATTTTAGAGTAGAAAATTGGTTTAGCAGTGGGATCGGCCTGCGGCTGCACGGCGGAAAGCCGAGGCACGGGACGCGGGCAGGCCTGGTGTTGCAGCAGTCAGCAAGGCCCAACAATTTGAAGCGTGCGCGAGGTGGCTAGGCTGAGGCCCGAGGCCCAGGCCGGGAGTCGCAGCGAGGCAATAGACTGAACGGCAAGCTGGCTGGATGCGATTGCCTAAAAAATTCTGGCTTTTTTTTGGGCAATCTCGCAGAGAGTCGCTACCGTTGTTGGAAAAAAACTAGAAGTTGCTAGGTCAACACGTGTGCAAAGGAGTGTTCTGGCATGGATCAAAACGATTTGATTCTTTTCTGCTAGGTGCACAGAGAAGCTAATAGATTATGGACCCCAAGAGCCAAAGGACGTCAGCTGGGGGAGCTCCCACGCAGCGACTATTTATCGCATTAAGCGATACAGTTGCCAGCTCTCGCTGAAGGTTTGCATGTTGTATTGGGCCAGCCCATTCGCAAGCCGAAATGGGAGATGTGGGAATCGATCCCTGGTCTCAAAGAAGAAAGAAGCTAGCCACTGCGCTAGGCCCCGTCCGCGGTAGATAAAAGCGGCGCGCCCTACTTAAGGATTCGAGCCGGTTTTCTTTGTTTCTTTTTGCTTTTTTGTTTTCTTTTGTTTCTTTTCTTTTTTCTTCTCTATTTGTCTTTCTTTCTTTGCATTATTTTTTTGTTTTTTGTCATTTTTTGTATTTTTTGTATATGTTAACAATATTTTTCAAATACACCTCTAACATTCCTTCTTCATTTTTTGTTTTTATTTTGTATAGGTAATAGCTATCATCTTTCACTCTACATTTTCTTATATGTCAAAAATATTTTTTTAATAAGTGATCAATAATTTTTTGTATACATGTTCAACATTGTCCGAACGCTTGTTCAATATATTTTTAAATACTTGTTCAACATTTTAATACTTATTCAACATTTTTCAAATAGTCATTCAATACTTTTTATTACTTATTCAACATTTTCAAATACTCGTTCAACATTTTTAATACTTACTCAACATTTTCCAAAAACTTGTATAACATTTTTAGTATACTTGTTCAACAATTCTCAATACCTAGTCAACATTTGTCAAATACTTGTTAAATATTTTTAATACTTATTCAACATTTTCAAATACTTATTCAACATTTTTAAAATACTTGTTCAACAGTTTTTAATAGTTATTCAACATTTTTTCAATAATCTTTCAACATTTTTAAGGCCTATTGAATATTTTCTGTGTTTGTTAACCGTTATTATTTCAAGAAAAACATGGAAAACCGAGTAAAAAGAAAATACACAAAAAATCATGTTGAATTAGACGAGTAAAAATGAAGAAAAAGAAAAAGAAAGTAAAAACAGGGAAAGGAAGTAAACATGGTAAAACCAGGCTCATTTTTCTTCTAGTAGGCCGCGCTCTCTATAGTGTACAATAAGTCGAGTTTGTCGCAGTGACTAGCAGTGCTGGAAAGCAACTACTCGATCCCAGGATTGATCCCCAGCTAGCACCATTTTTACCTCTGTTTTTTCAGGATATATTCGCCACAATGGGCTGGCCCGATATGTAGCGCTCGACGCGAGAATCCCCTCTCGTCTCGCTTAATGCGAGGAATAGGAGCGCCCGAGCTCCCAGCGAACTATGTCTTCGCTAGGGATTGGTTCGCTCCCACCCCGTTCCCCAACGACTTTTTTTTAAGAACTACCATGCGTTTTATTTATTCTACAAAGTCTGCGATCTCCTCAGCGATCACCCTCAAGATACAATATGGTGGGGATTCAGCCCACACATTACATAAACGATTAATTACCCCTTCCCTAGTTCCCCTAAAAAATAACTTACCCCTTCCCTAGCTAGTAGATGGGCAGCAGAATTATCTGTCCAGGTCACCTTTGCTGCCTCCCGCGAGCGCAACAGAGCTTTTACGTCCTCCACCACCGGTCCAGCGGCCGACATGTTTAGCATGGCCAGCACGAACTTGCAATCAAGCTCTAAATGGATTTTCTGAATATCCATCTGAACTGCAAGATGAGCTACACCCTTGCAAGCTAGGAGTTCCGCCGTTTCCGGAT